CTCCACTCATACTCTTCACTCGTCCTCTCCCGATCGCCTCTCCTCCTCTCGATCCCCTCCTCTTGCGACGGTGAGCGATGGCGGGCGGACGGGCGGTGGTGCGCGGTGGCGGCTAGCGGCGGGCGACGACAAGCGGCGGCGGGCAGTGCTGGGCGGCGGGCGAGCGGAGCGGAGGGTGGCGACAGGCGGCGGCCAGGCGGACGGAGGGGAGGGTGGCGGCAGGTGGCGGCCGGCCAGGCGGGCGGAGGGGAGAGCGGTGACATGTGGAGGGGAGGAAGTCTACAGGCGGCGGCCGTGCGGGCAGAGTGGAGGACGACGGCGGGTGGCGGCCGGGCGAGCGGAGGGGAGGGCGACGGTAGGCGGAGGGGAGGAAGGTGCACGGCAAGCGGCAGCCAGGCGAGCATGCGGAGGGGAGGGCGGCGGCCGGGCAGGCGGAGGGGTCGTTGGCAACGCTGATGTCAATGTGCGGACTTGTTGGTTTTGAGATGTGTGGACTTGTGTTGTTTTTTGTGATGTCGATGTAGATGTGTGGTGCTGTTGCGGATGATTAATTTTGTTGAGGATGTGAATTTGTGATGTTATTGATATGTGAATTTATGTTGTCATTTTGATCTGTTATGTGTTTATTTGATCTGTGAATTTGTGATGTTGGTGAGTTTGGCGTGAAATCAATATGCTGACAACAAAAAAAAAAGAAAAAAAACAGATTTAAAGATGGTAGTGCCACGTCGGAGCGGACTAAAAATAGACATCTTTAGTCCCTGATTGGGCATCCCGGTTACATATCCGGGATTAAAGGGGGGTTGCGAACCGGTAGTGTTGTGGGTTTCTCCAGTAGTGAGGGGGCAGGGTTACAAAGAGGATAACCTAGCTGGATACGACATCAGTTTCCTAATATATTTCATGGTAGTATTCAATCGGGCCTATATACCCTGCCTTGGAATACAAGAAAACATGACAACCGAGCCCTACTCTATTACATAATACATGGATCAGGCTCACCTCCTATCTCTAATCGGATATACAGGCCGTGTGGGTACCCAGTATCCGCATTCTTCACACCTTCCATATTTAAACTTGCAAATAAGGAAATTCTATCTGCAACTGAACTCTTTGGACCACTGGCTATGTATGCTTAAGCCCCTAACAACAATAGATGAGATAAATGAACTAGTTATCTTAGCTAACCTGCTGTGAAGGTATCCTCTTAACCCAGATTGAGGATGACAGTCTAGAAATGCCCGGCAGAGAGTGCTAACTTATTCTGCAGAAAGCGCATATACATGCATGGAACAATTCATCAGCCAGCCACTATCCTTCCCTTCTCTCTCTACCTCCCTTCTCTTCAGATCTGAAGGATGGTGACCAGTTGCCGGCAAGCAATTTGGACAACGATGAAGGAGCCTATCCTCTCTAGCGACCTGCTGCCATCTCCGCCCAGGGGCTGGTGTGTCGCGTTGTCGCGTTGGATGTTCTCTTCTCTGGCTCATCATCGACACCACCCCCAGCTTGGGTTCGGCAGCGGCCTGAGTGTCGATGGCCAGTCCTCGGCAAGGAGAAGGCAGCAGCAGCGACCTAGGAGTTCGGATGAAAAGGACCTCCTCAATGGTGGCGGCGGCCCTAGGGGTGATAGTGGCCTGAGTGCCGATGCAACTGTGCAAGATTCTCGGCGAGGAGGAGGCAGTTCAGACAGGGGTGAATCTCGTTGACAACGGCGGCCCTAGGGGTGACGGAGGCTTGGGAGTCCGGGTGGAAGAGGATATCCTCGGCAGTGGCAGAGGAGGACTGAGATTTCGGCAAGATTTGTGGACCTCGGCAGAGGCTGCGGCCCTAGGGGCGGCGGCAGGATGTGAGTCCGAGAGGCGGAAGAGGATCCCGATGACGGCGGTAGCCCTATGGATGGGGGAGGCCTAGGATCCGGCGAAGCAAAAACGGATCCTATCGGTTCGCGTCTGGTCGGCTAGTTATGACTAGATGACGACTGATGAATGGCGTGAACTCACCTGAAGCAGATGAAGATGGCAACATCGGAGGTACACAACGACGGTGCACTAGGGACTGCAACAACTAGACAACTTCCACTCGTGAACCATGGGTGTGCCAAGGTAGTAGGTTTGTTCTTTCTTTGGTTATGTGTTCTCCTCTCGTGGAGATATGAGTCTCAGTATCCTTATATTATTTTCGCTATGTATATTTTTCGTGGATATAAAGGCCTGATTAACGAATCCATTATAAAAAAATCCGTGGTACAATTCCATGGCTCGTTTCCTCAAATAAAATTCAAAAACTTGTGGAAGTCAGTGGATGGGCCCGAACATAAACTTCGGTTGCCTCTTGCTCCAAAAAAAAAAAAAAACACACGCTAATGGCTGAAATTTTGCTCTGTAGACACTGGCGTGAATATACTGGATTTGCTATGTGTCATGAAGCCTTTGAAATTGTGGATTCATCTTGCCAAGGAATGTGAGTATACAAAAAGTAGTGTCAAATCTTGTCGCAATTTGGAGAGATTTACAACCGGTCGTGCATCCAGATGAACACGCAGGTATTTCGGAGTGGTGGCAAGCTGGTGGGAGAACCAGACATCATAATTAAGGATGAAGAAAAAAAGAAATTTGTGGGGGGCTTACTCGCCACTCGGGGAACATTTGAGTATTTGACTCGAAAGAAACAGAAGAGTCTTCCATTAGGTGGAAAGAAATGAAGAACCAGTTGCGTATCTGACTAGTGCAATACTTGAATCGACACTTGTTAGTTTCCTAGCTGGCTGTGGAGGTTTATTAAGTCGTGTTTTTGATAATCACGGGTAAAATCCTACCTCCTTTTAAAATGTATATGTATGTATATGTATGACGCCATTGAATTTTCACACAACGTTTAACCATCTATCTTATTTAAAAATTTAGTACAAATATATATTTAAAATTATAAGTTATGATTATACTTCATTTGATGATAAAATAAGTCATAACAAGATTAACAATATTTATATATTTTTTTAATAACACGAATGGTAAAACATTATGTGAAAAGTCAACGACGTCATACATTTCGAAATGGAGGGAGCAGCTCGTAACCCCTTCTCGAAGCCACTGTGATATCGATGTTGTTATTGGTGAAGAACTCTTTTCTTCTTAATATTGGACTAGCAGAACTCCTGCCTTTTGGTTAAAAAATTATAAAAAAATTGACAACATAAATCAATATGTAGTATACATCTTTATAAATACACAAGTTTAAATTCAACCTATAGAAATTGAGAAAAAGTCAAATATGATTATGAATAGTACGTGTAACATTCACAATCATATTTGAATTGTATAGGTCAAATTTAAACATGCATCATCGTGGAGTGACATATCATATATTGATATATAATATTAAATATTTTTTTAAAAAATCATAACTATTTTGATGCATGGAAGAAACGAGCGGGACATTCTTTTAAGGGAAAAAAAAAGCTATCCACACTAGAGGACTAACTGGTAAAGCATATCCCACTAAAATTGCCCTTACCATATTTTCTTCCCAGACTCTCTATGTCATCATTAAACCCCCATTACATTCTGCAATGAGTGCTCAGGCAATTTTGACCCATTACTTGACTAATTAATGATTAATTCAGTACTCCCCTGTTTCATATTATAAGTCATTTTAACTTCGGTCAAACTGTTTCAAGTTTAACCAAGTTTATCTCTACTATTATAAATATTAAAGATGTTTTTACCGGTACTTTGGTACATCATTCGTGTATAAGTCGGTTTCTAAGTTCGTTTGCCTTTGGAAATACATATCCATATTTGAGTCAGTTTCTAAATCTGTTTGCTTTTGGAAATATAGAAGGATTCGTATAAGAAATCTCTTAAAACAACTTGCATGCTAACTTGAGACGATCGGATTCCTAATTGCAGCTCATGATTTTCTAAAAACAGAATATATATCCAAGCGAATTCCCACAATATATTTCACTTTAACTAAATTGTATAACAATAATAATAATATTAAAATAACATTCACCCATTGCAACGCACGAGCATTTTTTCTAGTAGAAAAATAAATATTTTCAACCCAAGACAAATATATTATGGAAATATATTAAATTATTGATTTAATGACACTAATTCGTGTTGTAAATATTAGTATATTTATTTACAAATCTAATCAAATTTAGAGTAGTTTGCCTTTGACCAAAGTCAAAACGACTTGTCGACAATGGTGAGAATTGTCGGTGACGTAAATATGGGATATATCTTTAAAGTTGACTAACTATGCGTATGGTTAAAGTGTTCTATTTATATACAGCTTTCCATGTTTGGGTTGACATCTTTAATCTGAATAGGAAGCAAAAGAGTAAAGACCGGGATGGATATAATGCCGAGCATACCAATCTCTGCATGTCCAAGATGATAATGATGTGTTTATACGGATATAAAATCCGGATGCCCCAAATCTCACTGAAGACCCGCTCTATCCCCAAGTCTATAGATTGTTGACCTTTTGTTTCATAGAATCTTTACTCCACGTATCAATAACATGGGGAGTTGATTTTGATCCCTCGAGGGATATTCCCTCGTTATTTGCATGTTATAAAAAATAGTTCAAATAGTTATAAAAAATTAAAAAAAATTGAGAAGATGTAATAATATGTGATATATCACTCCACAAACATGCGAGTTTAAATCCAACTTCTATATCTCGCAACGAAAAAAACAAATTTGAGTGTGAATATACATTAACTAGTTGTAGTTAAATTTGTTTTTTTCGTTGCGAGAAGTAGAAGTTGAATTTGAAGTGATATATCACATGTTCATATATCTTCTTAATTTTTTTCATATTTTTTCATAACTATTTAAGTGACATACAAACAACGAGGAGATATCCTCTCGAGGTATCAAAATAGTTTCTACAATGACATGATGATGTAGGGCTACCAAATAGCACCATAAATTAGTTGTATCCTAAACTGATAAGTAGCCTCTCTTCTTCATTCACATCAGCTGAGCTGAACCAACAGCAGGACAATCCTGAACACCATCTCCTGCATGCAATGAGAAGGCACATCCTTGTCTGCCATCTCCCACTTATCATACTCCTCTCCTCATCACTCAGCTCAAGCTGCCGATCTGACCACCAAATTCAGATTCAGGCACTTGTCCAATTCAAGGCCAGCTTGATTGACCCTCTCGACAATCTTCAATCATGGACGACGAACGCCACCACCTCGCCGTGCAGCTACCTCGGCGTACAGTGTGATCCGGTGACCGGCACGGTCACCGAGATCTCGCTGGCGAGCATGAACCTCTCCGGCAGGATATCGCCGGCGATCGGCGCCCTCGCGGCCCTAACACGGCTCGATCTCGGCGACAACACCATTTCGGGGGGAGTGCCTCCTGAGCTGAGCAACTGCACGCAGCTCCAGTTCCTCAACCTCTCCTGCAACGGCCTCACCGGCGAGCTGCCGAACTTGTCGGCGAAGCTGGCGGCGCTCGACACCCTCGACGTCGCGAACAATTACTTGTCCGGGAGGTTCCCGGCGTGGGTCGGCAACCTGTCCGGTCTCGTCATCCTCGCCGTCGGCGAGAACAGCTACGACCGAGGCGAGACTCCGCCGAGCATCGGAAACCTCAAGAAGTTGACGCATCTCTACTTGTCGAGCTGCTACCTGACAGGGGAGATACCTGAATCCATCTTCGGGCTCACGGCGCTGCGGACGCTGGACATGTCGAAGAACTATCTCACCGGCGGAATCCCGGCGGCCATCGGCAACCTCTGCGAGTTGTGGAGCATCCAGCTGTATAGTAATAACCTCACAGGCGAGCTCCCACCGGAGCTCGGGAAGCTGACCGGGCTACGCGAGCTCGACGTCTCCGGGAACAAGCTCAGCGGCGAGATCCCGGCGTCTCTTGCGGTGCTCAGGAACTTCGAGGTGATACATCTCCAGTGGAACAATCTATCTGGGCCGATCCCGGCAGCGTGGGGGGAGCTACGGTTCCTGAAGAGATTTGCTGTCTATGAGAACAATTTCTCCGGCGAGTTCCCGGCGAACTTCGGCCGCTTCTCGCCGCTTTACGGCATCGATATCTCCGAGAATGCATTCTCTGGCCCATTCCCGAGGTATCTGTGCCACGGCAAGAACCTCCAGTACCTTCTCACCATCGGGAACAGCTTCTCCGGCGAGCTCCCGGAGGAATACTCGGCCTGCCACCATTTGGTGATCTTCCGAGTTCACGGTAACACGCTCACCGGCAACCTCCCGGCGTGGGTGTGGGGACAACAATCTGCGGAGATCATTGATGTTTCGAACAATGGGTTCACCGGAAGAATCTCGCCGGCGATCAGCAAGGCGCAGAGGCTGAAGGAGCTCTGGTTACACAATAACCGGCTCGACGGCGAGATCCCCAGGGAGATCGGCCGGCTCTGGCGGCTCAAGAAGCTATACCTTTCGAATAACTCGTTCTCCGGCGTGATACCACCGGAGATCGGTAACCTAAGCAAGCTGACCGAGCTGACCTTGGGAGGGAACATGTTGACCGGCTGGCTATGATTTATGTACGCGACTAGTGGTACTGTTTTCCTACACAATTCCACGGTAAGCTAGCTAAATTTTTAAAGCTTTTTTTTAATTATTATATGGCAGACAGATTCGCACACATATATCCCACTATACACGCAACACTGCACACACCCCTATCGAATGCACCATATAACACATGCTCATCATAAATATGATTATATTTTGTATACAATAATTAAATTTTATGATTGTTCAAAAAAGATTTGATATACAAATTTGAACTTCTTTTTCATAGGTACAATTGTACTCGATCCATTTGCATCATTATAATTCTTTTTTCCTGAGGTACACTGCAGTCTGACTCTAAACTCATCACAATCCAAGAAAGCAATTATTTCTTTATGATTTTCGATTAGTATGGTACTTTTTCAACCTTCATGGTGACGTACGATTTTAAGTAATTTTGAATTCCTCAAAGCCAACAACTCAACATATGTGATGTAGTAAGGTGGAAGAAGGCCTAACACCACTTGGATATAGGCTCCCAACAACTCAATATCTGGCACTTGCATATTGCACGCTAAAGCATGTGTGGCTGTACCCATCTCTCTCAAACTATATTTCTAATAAAACTTTAATTGAAGTTTTCTTCTAAATTTATTATTCAATTTATTATCCGATTACACCATTATACTCGCTGCAATTAAATCTTTCTAGCAATATCTCACACGATTATATTTTGATGAGAAAAATCAAGCGTTGTTTCACCACTTATAAAAAAATTTAGTTGACCACTTGGTCAAATGTTTCACTTTATTCTATAAAATGTTTCAGAGCAATGCAACATTCAAATATACTATGTGCAGCACTAGTAACTACTATATGAAAAATTGAAGTCTCAATAAGTGGAACATAAAAAACCCATATGAAAAGATAAAATATGTTTGCAAATACTTAATATTGTTGAAACATTTTTATATCATGTATGAAACATTAAATTGTAGTAGTTGAAACATTATAAAATACTTACTACTTACTGAAACATTCAAAGGATACTATACGCTACAATTGTAAATTAACTAGTGAAACATCGTGTAAAACCAGGTGCAACACTGAAAAATTCATTAGAAAATCTAAATATTTTTTCATCGGAATATAACCATATCTAGTCTTGTTATAAAGATTTAATGACAATAAATTTAATAGTGCAATTGAGTCATAGATTAGAAAGTAATTTAAAAGAAAAAATTATTATAGTGCATGGGTGGGCAAAGTGCTACTTAGTAGCCTATGGCTACATTACAGTGCGTGAGAGGATGCCATGATGGCATGATGAGATGAAAGTTATTGTTATATTAATAGGAATTTGGTGAGATAATATGTAATTATAGATGTAGTATATACTATAAGGATATTATCTTGGAAGGAGATCTCTGAACGCACTCTTGTCACCTAACTTGTCCTGTATATATCTTGCTGACTGAGGAATGTAAAGTTTAATTAGTTATTGCAATAATAATCTGGTTGATGTTGTTCTTTTATGTTAGACCTACTACCTCTTTTTTAATAGACATTTGACCATTCATGTTATTAAAAAAATTATGTAATTATAATTTATTTTATTGTTAGTTGTTTTATCACTCAAAATACTTTAAGCATGATTTATATCTTATACATTTGCATAATTCTTTATTAAAAAATCAAGGGTGTTATCTATTAAGAATCAAGGGTGTTACTCCCTCCATCTACTTTTGATAGTCATATTTTATCTTGGCACAATGACTAAAAATAAGTAGTTCTACTTATCATCCAATTAAACATGCTATTAGTTATTCCTCCTAAACAATCAATTTATTAATATTTATATTTCTCAATGCCCATGTAGCCAATCTTGTGTGGAAGAATGGAGAGTCACGTCTTAAATTCGATAAAGTCATTAAGAGGATGGGTGGTTGGATTGAAATATGCCTATCAAAAGTAAATTTTTTAGATTCGAAAATATGCCTATAAAAATAGATGGAGGGAGTATCTAAAAGTAGATGGAGGAAGTATGTAGTAAGAGACGAAGGGAGTATGTTTTAGCAGCCTTCTTTTTCTCACTTCTCACGGTGGTGAGGAGGTGAGCTAAGAATGAAACTCTATTTGGCAATTTCAACGGGTGGGTCTAATGTGCAAGGAAGCCCCAGCTCACTGGCCCACATACGTTCCGCACGGTAGCCACACTGCCACACACTAGTACAGGCCATAAAGCCCACGTGCAAATGATTGGGCCAAAAATCGCAAATCTGGCCCAGGTTGCTCCCACATGCGGCCCAGTGATACCACCAGCCCAGGAGCCCATGACGACACAGATCAAGCAAGAAGTTAAGAAGGGGACGGGGTACAGAAAAGTATATGGCGATACCAAAATTTGAATCTTAAATCTTAATTTTAAAAAGTTAATTTTGAAGTTGATTTTAAGATTTTTTTTATTGTAGTTATTTTCAATATTGGTGTTTAAGTCATTAAAAACACGTATATAAAAGTTTTAACTATAAATAAATTATTTCCTTATCACTAATATACCGTCAGCAATCGGCCAACCGATGACAGCCTATAATGCCAGAGGGCCACCTATGTACTTTCCAGGGAATTACACCATTTATTAGCTAACATTAGATTGAAGCCAAATTTAGGACCGATTTGTTCCTTCTTGAAAAGGGCCAGACGAATGATATTGGCCCAATTTAGATTTAAGCCCGACATAGGAAACATGACCAGTTTGATATGAAGTTTTGAATCGTATTCCTCAACCGCAAAACCGGTATAACCCGTCTTCCGACCCCCAAAACCGTAGAAAATCGATTCCCCGCACGGTTTTAGAGGTGGTTTTGTCCCACGTGGCATCTTTGACTTTGTTGACTTGCTAAGTCAGCTTGTGGGACCCACCTGGCAGTGACATGGATAAAAAACGGTGGGGCCCACTGTCAATGCACATCGCCCCGCATCATATCCTTCGTCGTGTTTCTCCCTCCCCTCCAATCCGCCACTGCCAGCGTCGGTCAATGGCCCCTCCTGCCCCACCGTCGCCGCCCACGGGGAGAGGAGTCGTCGGCCGGCCATGCACTGGGGAGAGAACTTGCCTGCCGGTCGCATGGGGGACGATCTCGCCGGAGCCCGCACGCGGGGAGAGGAGTCATCTGGCAACCGCACACGGGGGAAGGAGCTCGCTGGGAAGCCACGCCCTAGGAGTAGTAGTCTGCCGGCCGCACACTGGGAGGTAACTCGCCGGTCGGCCGCATATGGGTAGAGGAGCTCGCTGGCCAGCCGCATGTAGGAAGGAGCTACCGGCGGGCCACGCGCGGGGAGAAGAGCTCGCCGGCTGGCCACATGTGGGGGAGGAGCTCGTCGGCTAGTCGTGCACTTGGGAGGGAGCTCGCCAGTTGACCGCTCACGGGTAGAGGAGCTCGCCAGCCAACCGTGCGCTGGGAGGTTCTCCCGGCGGGCCACGCATAGGGTAGGAGCTCACCGGCCGACTTCTCGCTCTCCGCCGCCACCTTTTCACAGGCGGCGGTGGTCTTCCCGCCGTAGCCATTCCCTCACCTCTCCTGTGGGCCCCTTACGTTGCCGCTGCCCACCTCCGCCTCCACCTCTGTCCCCGCGATTGGGAGATAGAGGTCCAGCTGGAGAACATCGACCGATGAGTTCTCTTCCCAGCGCATGGCCAGCCGATGACTCCTCTCCCCGTGGGCGGCAGTGGCGGCGAGGGAGGAGGGGGCATTGGCCAACAATGGCGGTGGTGGATTGGAGGGGGATGGGGAAGCCGATGAGTTCTCTCCCCAACATGTGGTCGGCCGACGACTCCTCTCCCTGTGGGCAACGGCGGCGAGGGAGGAGGGGACATCGGGCGGCGATGGCCGTGGCGGTGGTGGACTGGAGGGGATGGGGAAACGCGAGGAAGGCGATGCGGTAGAGGCGGCGAAGGCGATGGTGCGTGGCGGTGTGCACTGACAGTGGGCCCCACCGTTTTTTATCCCTATCACTGACATGTGGGTCCCACAAGCTGACTCAGCCAGTCAACAGGGTCAAAGATGACACGTAGGATAAAACCACCTCCAATACCGTCCTGGGAGTTGATTTGCAACAGTTTTGGGAATTGGAGGACGGGTTATATCCGGTTTTGCGGTTGAGGGATGTGATTCAACAACCCATGAGTTGAGGGAGGTAATATAGACTTATTCCATGAAGTTATGATGCCCTCAAACCCGGCCCTGCTATTGCCGTAAGTTACACAATTTTTTGATGTACATATATCTTCCTGCCATCTTGAATGGTTTATGATTGTTAAATAAATCGTTTATGCTAATTAATCAATTCAATGTAAAATCTATGTAACTCAAGTTTGTTTAATAAAGCTGGATCAAACAGACATAATTAATTACTGCTACAACTTAACTATTTTGAAGAAAATTTATTTTACACCTTATTCATCCGAGGAAGTGCCATGGAGGCTGTTATCAAGTGGCGATGATTACTGGGAGAGGTAAAGTTAATTAACCAATAATTTTTCCATTAGTCAGTGAAAAAATTTCCCCTTAATGGTCATAGCACTACACTGCAAAGGTCAAAAACTATTTGGCCCAACTGGATCAGTATTCAGTAGTTGAGAACCGCAGAGGTCGTTATTTGTGCCAAAATTCGGTATTATCAACCATCGATGTACACTCTTACCCGTTTGCTTTTCTACTGCTTTACTAAGTTATGCACAAAAAAGCCGGCGATCTCGCTCAATTGTTATGCGCATAATTAACTTCTCACATTATTAAACCTAGTTTTATTCCGTTACCTTTCATGCCTATCTCATCCACCACTACCTATTTCAGTAGTGAATCATGCATATAAAAAAAACAATTTATTAGCTGACAAGCAAAAAAATACTTGTTAAAACATTTGATGCAGCCAGATTAATTGTTTACTAGGCCATGCATGCACAGCGGAAAATCTTCTCTCACCCTTTCCTCTCTTTAACCCAAAGGCATGGATGAAACTCGTGCAGCTTAGCTGTTTCTTTTTCTTTCCTCCCATAATTATAAGTCTTAAATCCCACCCTAAAATTTTACATCCTATCATATCGAACGTTTGAACACATGCATAAAGTATTAAATATATGTAAAATAACTAATTGCACAGATTGCGACTACTTTGCGAGACGAATCTTTTAAGCCTAATTGCTCCATGATTTGACAATGTGGTGCTACACTAAACATATGCTAATGACAGATTAATTAGGCTTAATAAATTCGTCTCGCGGTTTACTGACGGATGCTGTAATTAGTTTTTTTTTATTAGTGCCCGAACACCCCATACGATACCCTATATAATACTCCCTCCGTTTCACAATATAAGTCATTCTAGCATTTTCCACATTCATATTGATGCAAATGAGTCTAGGCATATATACCTATCTAGATTTATTAGCATCAATATGAATGTGGGAAATGCTAGAATAACTTACATTGTGAAACGGAGGAAGTACCCGATATGACACGCCAAAACTTTACACCTCTGGATTTAAACACCCCCTATACCAATATAAAACGTCGCAATATTTTGTGTAG